CCATAGACCCTGAAAAGCAGTTGAATTTTTTAAGTGTTAGCCCTGATACAAGCACGTTTGTGGATATCAGACCTATATCGTTGCAGCTAGTTCAATTTCGTTGCAGCTAGTTTTGTTTTTCAATTCAACACCCTGCAAATCAAACAAACAATGTGAGATTTTTTGGAAAAGTATAGGCGTAACAGTCAGACACATCAGGGACTGATTCTCATTCCAAAGTTCTCTTGGATAAATTGCCTGGAGAAAAAAAAGACTTCTCATGCAGAAAAATTCTGTCCTCAAATTGTGGAATAATCATGCTTCAATTCTGAGACAAAAACAGAGATCAAAATAACTGCGGAATACGTAACAGAGTATCTTAAAACAATTGATTTGTCATTTCCCAGTTACAAATAAAAGTGCTATTTTCTAAACACAAAATTGCTTCATATTTCCTTAGAACTTCTTGTTTATTCCAAAAAAATAAACTGCAAGCAACAGGCAAAAAAAACAGATATTGGAAATTTTTTCTAAACCAGTACGCAAAAAAAACTCTACAAAAATAACAAGACTTTAGGCAAATCGCAAACTCTCCTCCAGCCACCGGCGAATAACAGCAGAATACTTAACAATGTACTTGGAAACAAAAAAACTGGTGCATTCTTTCGTCCATTTCCAGCCATATTGATTAAAGATAAACCCCCATAACTTTACGAAAAATGATAACAAGTAAAAAAAAATTCAATTTGATTTGGAAAAAAAATAATTTATTTTGGATGATATATTAATAGAACATCAAGATTGGCTAGTTAAAACATCAAGTTTTGTCGGGAGAAAAAAACAGCCCGAGTGCAAATATTCGGTCACTTATTCAAAAAACGGAAGATTATAAACTTCATTGAGTGGAAATTGCAATCTCGAAAATAACCTAAAAAACCATTTAATTTCAGTTATTAATAAAATTCATTTCTTTTAGAAATTGTCGTTTTGGGAAAATCAGCGAATTTTTTGAGAAAAACCTGCAAAGAATCTGCATATAAGCGTTTTCAGAAAATTCTGTGATTCGTCACATGTCTTGTAGTTCTTTGTTAAGTTTTATTAGCTAGCTGATTCAGCAAATTTTTCCTATATATGTTTTTTTTCGCCTGTTGCTTGCAGTTCTGAATTTTCAGTTGGTTATAATTGAAAGTTTTGAGCTGTAAGTGA